ATGAGTCTAAAATGAGATCATATTTGCAAAATGCTTTCCAAAACTTGAAGCACTGGGGCAGCTAGGTGGCACAATGGATAGAGCCCTGGCCCTGGAGTCAGGAGGACCTGAGTTCAAATCCAGCCTCAGGCACAACACTTACTAATTATGTGACCCTGGGCAAATCACTTAACCCCAACTGCCTTGCAAAAAAAAAATGCTTAAAGCATTATATTAAAGCTATTACTATTATTATATGCTAGGTACTCAGTGGGGATACACCAACAGAACTGAAAACAGTCCCTATCTTCAGGAAGCTTACATTTTATTCAGGAATTCAACATATAAAAAAATAAGTAAATACAAGATAATTTAGGGAGGATCATGTTATTCATGTTATTCATTCATCCTTTGTTTCTGAAGAGGACAATGACATCATGGGGAGATGTCTTGACTTGCGCATGAATTGGATTTGTGAGGCAGAGATGCACAAAGTTGCCAGTCTCAATCTCTCCTCCAGAGACATCAAAGTCCAGTGGCAGGACAAAAGTCAAGATGACTGGTGATGGCCTGGGATGCAGTGGTGTCTTTGATGTCTGACCAAGCTCTAAGTACTCCACAGTGCCTGCTTGAGCCATCTTCATGGCAATTGGAACAAATTGTTCTCATCTGCCCATTCCACGAGGGCAGCTAGGTGGCACAGTGGATAGAGTAATAAATCTTAAGTAACTAGCAATCCATTTTGTTGACTGGTTAGGGAGCTAAAATAAAAAATGAATTTTCCATCCCTCAGCAAGAGAACTTGTACAATTCTCCCATTTTCCACCTCGTACATGTGTGAGCATTTTAATGGTCATAGGATTCAGGGCTGTAAGGGACCTTAGTGGTCACTTAGTCAAACTCCCTCATTTTATAGATGAGGAAACTGAGGTAGCAGGATTTGAACCCAGATCATAGTGTTAAATCAGAGCTGGAAGGGGCAGGAAGAGGCTATTAGTCAAATTAGTCAAATCCTCTCATTTTGCAAATGAGGAAACAGTACTAGAGAAGTTGAAGTAGCTTGCCCAAGGTCACAGGGGTGGTAAGCTTTAGAGGTCCAATTTGAACTCAGGACCTCTGCCTCCAGAGCCAGTATTCTTTCACTGTACCCTACTGCCTTCTTAGAGATCATCTAGTCTAAGCCCTTCATTTGACAGGTGAGAAAACTGAAGCTCAGACTCCAAGTCCATCACTTAGTCCTCTCTTTTCCTAAGGAACCCCATGGAATCATTTAAGAAGTCTGATAATGGCACCTCCCCTACAGTTGGAGCCACCCAAGTCTCAATATCACAAGAAACTGGCCTTTTTTTTTCATCTTGAAGAGGAACTAGTGTGGCTTCTGATTGATGATTCACCATTAGAGTTATTTCACTGATATTTAACAAACTTGGCTGAGATAAACCCTGATGGCTATGGAGTGTTACTGTTTACAAAGTGTGGCCATGCCTATTGTCTCATTGGATTCTTAGATAGGATCTTCTCCCAAAAAGAGGAGAAGGGACACAGAGACCGCCAGAATGACTGACAGATCTCCAAGTGTAGCACTTAACATCAAAGAGTTCCACCAACCCCTGAGCTTACCCTCACCTATTCTACACATAATAGGTATACTCAGTGGGTACTGGGTTATTCTAGGTTGGGCTCCAGTTCCTTTCATTCTCCAGAGAATGAAACCACCATGTACCCTAACCAGCGAGGGTCTGTCAGTATCAGACTTGCCATTCTGGCCAGGGCTGGTGGCCTGGGACTATCATGTGAGCTACTTCATCTCTCAAAACAAGAACAAAGACTCAGAACCAGGGTTTACGTGGTAAGGCAGCCTGGGCACATGAAATCTGTCCAGCCTTCTGCTGTTTACCACAGACCAGTTCTTATAGCATCCATAACTGAGAATGGAGCTCTGTCTCTGTTCCTTAAAATCTCAGACAAGGCAAGCAGACTTCCTGCAATGGAAAATGCTCTCTAATTGGAGTTAAAAGACCTGACTCTAATGCTAACTAGCTGTGTGACCCTGAGCAAGCTCCTTAACTTTTTCTGAAGTTTGGTTTATCCTTCTGTAAAATTATATTAAGTTCCACAAACACTTCTCAGTGCTCAGTGATGGGGATACCAATGTGAAAAGTGATATATACTAATGCAATCATGGCCTACATTAAGAGAGGCTTCCTATCCAAAAGGAGCGAGTCGATAGCTCCACAGGCCTCTACCAGGTTCAGGCCACATTCAGGGTACTGGGTTCAGTTCTGGATGCTACATTTTAGGAAGGACCTTGATATACTAGAGAATGATCAGGACGGTGACAGGACTGTTAACCATAGCTTACAAGATTGGTTAAAAGACCTGGGGATGATTGGCTTTGAGAAGAGAAGACTTAGGGGGAACAGAATTGATAACTTCAAGTATTCATAGACTTAGAGAATCGTAACTAGAAAGCACTTTTGTAGGGCTGCCACGGGGAGGAATCTTAATAGCTCTGTTTGGATCTAGGTGGCAGAACTCAGATCTAAGGATGAGAGTTTCAGAAAGACAATTTCAGCTTGACCTAAGGCAAAGTCTCTAACTGAGCTGTCCACAAATTAAATGGGTTCTATCGAGAGTCCACATCATGGGACATCTTTAAGTGGAGGCTTAAGTGGAGGACCATTTGTAGAGGATCTTTGAAAAGGATCTTGTAGAAATTCCTTTTAAGATACATAGACTAAGATAGCCTCTAAAATCCCTTCTAGATCTGAGATTCTATGATTCTAATAAAAATTTACAATTGAATGGGAATTCCAACATGTATACAAATTAAATTCAAATATTAATAAATTATTATTGAACTATGCTCAAAGTGCTGTTCTATGCTATGAAATAAGATGTTTCCTTCCCTCCTGGAATTCATAGTCTGATTTGGGAATAAGATACATATTTGGATATCAATTATGCACAATATTACATGTTGAGTAGAATGTGCTCTGTTAGGGGAAGGGTTGTTACTGACTGGGGATCAGGGAAAGTTTTATGGAAAAGGCAGTGTCTGAGTGGGGCTTTAATGGATGCACTGCATTCTTTAATAAGGATGGGATGCTAGAAGGTAGAAAGTGATAGGTGCAAAGGAGAGGTCCAGATAAATTGCTATAAGAAAATCTGAGGAAGGAAAGATCACTTTCTGCTCAGGACATTGTGAAAGACTACATGGAGAAGGCAGAATTTCAGCTGGGTATTAAAGGAAGAGAAGTTTAACAGATGGAGCTGAGGAGAGATTGACCTTCAAAGGGTTGTTGTGAGGAAAGTTGATTCATTCATATACCATCAAAACCTTGGTAAATGTTCAACATATTTATTGGAAAAATGCTGACCTGTACTCAAATCCCAGCTCTGATAAATGTACTAGCTGTGAGGCCTTGGCAAAGTCACTTAACCTCAGTTAATTCAGAAGCTCAGTTTCCACATTTGGAAAATCAGAGTAATACTACCACCATTACCAACCTCACCTCCCACTCGATAAACTTCGGTATCTCCCTATCATCTCTAGAATCAAATACGAAATCCTCTGGCAGAGAAAGCCTTTCATAACCTAGCTCCCTCTACCTTTCCAGTTTGCTTGCTCCTAGCTCCTCACATACTCTTCCATCCAGTGACACTGGCCTCCTGGCTGTTCCAAGAATAAGACACTCCATCTCTCAGCTCCCAGCATTTTCTCTGGCTGTCTCCCGTGCCTGGAATGCTCTCTGTCCTCTTCTCATCCTCATTTCCACCTCCTGGCTTCCCTGAAGTCCCAGATAAAGTCCTTCTTCAGGAAACCTGTCCTGATCTCCCTTACTTCCAATGCCTTCCCTCTTTAAATTATTTTCTATTTTTTCTATATATAGTTTGATTATAAATAGTTGTTTGCATGTTCTCTCTGTCATGAGATTGTGAGCTCCTTGGAGTCAAGAACTGTCTTGCTTTCTTTCTATCCCCAGTGCTTAGCAGAGTACCTGGCACGTGGTAGGTGCTAAATAAATGTTAATTGACAGACGGGAGACCTATTCTACAAATACAAATCTGAGCTTCAACACCTAACACCACAGGATCATAGATTTAGAGCTGGGATCACAGATTTAAGTAACTGCAACTCAGAGAGATTAAGAGACTTGCCCTAGGTCACATAGGGAGTAAATGGCCAAGTTCAAATTCAAACCCAGGGCCTCCACCTTCAAATCCCGCCCAGTTTCCCACTGCATGAAACTATTAATGTGTGACCCTGGGCAAGTCATTGTTCATTCCAGTATCATCAGTCTGTTCCTCATCTGTAAAATGGGGATAGATAATAATTGGTGTACTCTTCACGTCACAGAGCTACTGTGAGGTAGCATTTTTGGAAAGGCCTGCACACTCTACTTTTGGGAGGCAACGAAGTGCGGAAAGAGTACTGGGTCTGTAGCTGGGGTGCTTGGGCTGGAATCGGGGCGCTGCCATAACACGTCTGGGGCCATGGCTAACTTAAGAAGGTTTATTCTGTAAAACGGGTATTTGAGAGGTACGAGCTTTATAAACTTGAAGAGCAGGAGGAAAGCCGGTAGTCACAGCAATATTCAATACAATATTCAAAAGCGCTACGATAGCCATAGGACTCAGCGCTGGAAGGAACCTGGGAATCTCGTCTACATTTTACAGATCAGGATGACAGGCAGAGGACAGGCATTCGCTCAAGGTCACAGAGCCAAGCCTTGGACGCAGAACCTCCTGCTACAGCGGTGCTAGTGCCCGGTCCTGGGCCCCTACAACCCTTACCCTGCCTGCTCTGCCCCAGGAGCGGCAGCTAAGGAGCCTTCCGCAGCTCTTAACGCCCGATGCTCCTGGCTCTGAGGAGGGACGGGCAGGACTGCTTCCGCCTCCAGCCTCCTCCCCTAGGCTGCACCCCACCCCTCTCACCTGGCCGGGCTGGGCTGCCAAGGCCGCACCAGCAGCAGCTGGTAGAGCTCAGCCACGCAGGACAGGTGCCAGCCAGTCCGGTCCAGCCCGCACCCAGTCCGGGGAGCTTCCAGAGAAGAGGGATGAGTTTTATGGCCGAGCCTCGACCCCCGGGGAAGCCCGCGGCGCTACAGACGGTGAGCTCAGCTGGCTGAAGGGACCTGGGAGCCGCGTTCGTTCTCGCTCCAGTCTGTGCCTTACTCTCCCCTTGGCCCGGGCTGCGGGATGTTCGCTGACACCTTGGCTTTTGGCCACCCCTCTGCTCTCCCTCCTTCCTTCTCTCTCACATGTACTCTCTGTCAACCCTTCTCTCTCTCCTGCACCTGCAGGCACGTATTCCCACGCGCCTCGCCCGCACACAAGCACAACTACACGACTAAGCACACTTACTGCCCTGCGCACTTACACACTTACACACTTACACTCACTCGCCTCTTCCAAGCGCACAGGCGCAAGCACTCTGCGCTCCCCTCCTGCTCCTGAAATCTTTTCTTACTAGCCAGGTCGGAGGAAAGACAACCTAAGGGTGCTGTCCTCTCCGGAAGAAGCAGATCCTGACTCCCCAACCCCCTCCGGCCTGGTCGAGAGAAAGCCCAGTCAGCCCAATTTAATGGCTGTGGCCCTTCAGAATTCTCCAGGCTCTCTGGCTAGGAATTCACCAATCGCTGTAAGGAAGTGACTAAAAGCACTTTGGTAATTGTTTAAAGTAGACATTGTCTCAATGGAATGCCAAAGAGTTTCCTAGTAATGGGGAATAAGTTTTCACTCTTATGAAAAGGGGAAATAATGGCGAGAGACTCACACTGTGCAGTGTCCTACCACAGTGTTTCTTTTGTTTTGTAGTCTGAATTTTATCAGAATATCTCCTCTAGTCTGTATTGAGCATCATTCCCTCCTCTTACTTTGACTATGGGAGGTTTTTAATGGTGTTGATAAAATTCTCTTGCTAACCTTGTGGAAGAGATTGGAGTAAATCATAGTACTGTTAGGGGGGGTTGGCAGTGGTTTAATGGTGGGAACCCAAGAAAAGTCATTAGAGGTTTGCTGCTAACTTGGAAGGTCTCCAGTGGAGTGTTCCAGGAATCTGGGCTTGCTCTTGTGTTTTCACATTATTATCATTTGGATAAAGGCATAGATAATATCACCATCAAATTCACCAGTGACCCAAAGCTGAATAGGATGACTCCTACACTAAATGACAAAGGTTCAAAAAGATCTCAGTAGGCTAGAACATTGGGCTGCATCCAACAAAATGAAATGCAGTAGGGATAAACAGAAAGTCTTGCACAGTGAGTTAAAAAAAATCAGCTCCACAAATACAAGACAGGGGTAGCATGGGTCAGCAACAGATTATCTGAAAAATACAGAGACTTCTTGTGAAAACTCAATGTCAGTTGACAGTGTGGTCTAAGAGAGATGTAGCATCTAGGAACAGAAGTGATCATCCTGCTGTGGTCTGCTCTGATCAGGACACATATGGAGTATTGCATTTAATCCTGGGCACCACGTTTTAGAGAGGACATTGATAAGAGGTGAGCAATCATGAAAGTGAAGGACTGATCAAAGAAAATAAGGATGTTTGTGCAAGAGATGAGAAGACCTAGGGAAACATGACTGATGACTGTACCTGGGGACTTGAAGGACTTTCATGTGAAAGATAATACCTAATAATAATAATAATAATTATTATAGCTAGCATTTTAAGTACCCACTAAGTGCCAGGCACTGTGCTAAGTGCTTTACAATTGATCCTTAAAACAACCTAGGGAGGTAGAAGTTATTATTATCCCCATTTTACAGTTGAGGAAACTGAGGCAAAAGTTAAGTGACTTGCCCAAGGTCACATGACTGGTATCTGAGGTCCTCTTTGAACTCCCAGCCCATTTCTTTATCCACTGCCCCACCTCAATGTCTCATAAGGAAGAGGGATTTGACTTTTTCTGATTGGCTGTAAAGAAGACTAAGAGTTGTAGGTGGAAGCTGTAAAGGGGCAGATTTAGGCTTGATGTCAGGAAAAACTTTATAACAAATAGAGCTATACAAAAGTGGAATAGACTGCCTTAGGAAGAACTGTTCTCCTTCACTTGAGGTTGCCAGGGTATACCACTAGATTTGTCAGCAGGAATCCTTTTTCAGTATGTGTTGGACCAGACCTTTTAGGTCCCTTTTAACACTGAAATTCTGTGATTTGGAACTAAGGGTGTGTGCCTTGAGTTAGAGAAGTCAGGGAGAACCCACTTCTTATAGGTGATAAAAACAAGGTTGGGTCCTTGGTGAGTTGTTACCAGATCTTCTAGGGAGGATCCTCCCATCTCCCCCTCCGATCTGAAAACAATCCATAGACTCCCCTTATCTCCTTTCTCCTCACAGTAACAAGCACAGGGTTTTCTAATAATGATGATAATCATTCACATAGATAGTTCTTTATGGTTATAGAATAATTGGATTTAGAGCACTTATACCTGTAAAAAAAAAAAGAGTCAAGATTTTGAACCCCAGTCTTCAGACTTCAAATCTAATGTTTTACAATGCCACGCTGCTCACAAAGCCCTTTTCCCACAACATCTCTACGATCTTATAACTGTGAGGAATTCTCTGGTACTCATTCTTCTAAAATTTATAGTCTTACAAAGTTGTCTGGAAGTACTGAGAGGTTAAGGGATTTGCCCAGGGTCACACACCAAGTATGTGTCTGAGGCAAGATTAGAATCCAGACTCACCTGGCTCCAAGGTCAGATTCTATTGACGATTCTGCCTTTCTAGGGGTGTATGGGGTTCTCAGGGAGGACTAGCACCTCTGATGTGAGGGTTGCCAAGCCCTTTTCAGGGCTGCTCATCCACCTTGGTTGTCCATCTTCACCCTACTCTCACTAATGGCTCCTAGAAGCTGTGGCATGCTCAGCAGCCACACCCTGGTAAAACTGTCTCTGCAGATGGGTTAACAAGGTTGAGGGTTTTTGACAGGTCTGACCCATCAGTGAGTTAGGGGGTGGTCTACCCCAAGCAGGTGAAGACTTCCCCCAGTTGACTGGGTGGATAAGAACAACTTGTTCCAATGGCCATGAAGGTGGATGTGAAGAGCTCGCTTAGAGCTTGTTCAGTTTTCAAAGATGCCAAGGTCATCAACTGCATCTTGGCCCATTGCCAGTCATTCTGACTTTTGTCTTGCTGCTGGACTTAGATGACTCTGGAAGAGAGAGTGAAGCTGATGAGTTTGTGAAACTCTGCCTCATGTAAATCCAATTCATGCACAGTCAAGACATTACCCTATGGTGTCATTGGTCCTTTTTAAAATGGAGGACAAATAAGTGTGGACAGAGTGTTGGACCTGGAATCAGAAAGACCTGGGTTTGAATCTTGCCTCAGACACTATAGCTGTGTGTTTTGGGGCAAGTCATTTAACTTCTCTGGGTGTTAGTTCCTTTATATGTACAATGAAGGGGTTGGACTGGATAATCTCTAAGTTTTTTCCCAGTTCAAACATTCTGTGATTCTAAAATGTGACTTCAGTGTGTGTTCCACCTTTACCTGTCTACTTCATATAGGGGATATAATGAATAATAAAAAAATAACCCTGATATTGTGCTTTGAGCTTTGTAGTTGAAAACTATATACGTTTAGCAATGCTCTGTGATTCTTTTTCTTATTGCTGTGTTATTGTTCAAGTGTGTGGCTTGGGAGCCATACTGCCCCATCAAGTCCAGAATGGCCTCTCATAGACAGCTACCTCCTTTTTCCTTCCCTAGGCCCTGTGCTAGTTAGGGTTGCCCATGGCAACACAGTTCTCTGGAGCAGTTAGGTTGCATCTGATTTTTTTTTAATCTAGCATGCTTTGAAGCATTCTTGGCAGCAGTCTGATGCAGTTTTCTTAAACACCCTCCATATGTCTTGTTACACTTTGGTTACCTGCAGTTTTGAATGTTTTAGGATGGTGAAGAATATCAACTGTTACAGAGATAATAATAACTAATGTTTATATAGCGCTTTAAGAAAGTATATATACACACCACTGAGATTATTTGAGCATCTAAGTAAAATATCATCATTTTGGAGGAAGAAACCATAGACCAAGAAAATCGGATGTGAGAACAGGGCAATGTCTGAGACTGTAGCAGAAGTATATTCCTCTGCCTCCTTTCCGTGCAACTTAGCCCAAGGATGAAGGTATATTTTAAACCACAAGAGCTCTTCATAAAGCAGGTTTACAAGATTGATTACTGCTGCTTTAAGTACAGCACAGTGATTTTTTTTTGTGGTGGTGAAATATTTTGTTAGCCATGTACCCCGTACTGTTAAGTAGTTTAACTCTATGATCTGGACTATTGTTTCAGATCAAAACAGCTCCCTACCAGACATAATGTCCTCAGACAGTGGGCAGGTTGTGATTTTTCAAGGATCTATAATTTCATTGGGGTGGGCCCTCCTGCTTTTGCTGCAGACTTCAAATCCTCCAATTTTTAGTAGAAAACATGAAGATCTATGACCAAAATTAATCCCAAAGTGAAAATTCTGGTGAAAAGCCTAGGCTGGTCTTGGATGATAGGCTCACAATCTATCAATGGACCAGTTGTAAAAATTCACATTTATAAAGTGCTCTAAAGTTTGTGAAGCATTTAAAATGTATGAGAAGCTTTTCCCAACCCCTCTTAATTCCAGGACCTCTACTCTTTTGATTATTTCCAGTTTATCCTGTCTGTAGCTTATTTGTACATATTTGTATGGTCTCTCCTCTGTTAAATTGCAAGTTCTTTAAGGGAAGGGGCTGTCTTTTGTTACTTTTTATATTTCTAGCAATTAGCACAGTGCCTGGCACATAGTGGGAGTTTAATAAATGTTGATTGATTGAAATAAAACATTAAACATCTACTAAGGGCCTACAAAGTGTCCTACAAGGCTTCTTGTAGAAGGTGGAATTTTATCATGTGAAACAGGAGAGAAGTAGGAGAAAGCGGCAGAAAGTACCTGAGTAATAGATAAGGAAGAGGGGAAAAGAGGGAGTTCATCATGAATGGCCTCAATTTTTTCATAAAATATGAATTCTCAGTTGAGAAGGAAGAGGGAAGGGGAAACCATGTGGGGTTTGAAAAGGGATGAAAAGGTTTGGAAGAGCTGCTGTGGAGAATGGGATAGTGAGTTAATAAGGCAGGTTTAGAAGGATTGCCTAGCAGCAGTCAAGGCCCAGTTGAGGTGGTATAACATTAATTTATAATGGACCTAGTCAGAACAGTTGTGTGATTTTCTCCACCTTTGTTCAGCAGTATTTTGTGTGTGACTGAGGTAGGGTAGAGGAGTGCTCATGGGAAGGAAGTAGGTTGAGGAATAACAGCTAGGGTGTTTGAGGGATTGGAGGTCAGCAGAGATATTGGGGCAAGAAAGTTAGATTTGAGAATCATCAGCATAGAGATAGTAATTAAATCCATGGGAGTTGATGCAATCACCAAGTGAAGTAGTTTGAAGGAAGAAGAGAAGAGGGCCCAGGACAGAACCCTGAGGGACACCTAGGGTCAGAGGGCATGCTCTGGAGAAGGATCCAGTAAAGGAAACAGAGAAGGAGTGGTCAGACAGGTAAGAGGAAAACCAGGAGAGAGCGTTTTCCTGAAACCTAGAGAGAAGAGAGTATCAAGGAGGAGAGAGTGATCAGCAGTGTCCAAGGTTGCAGAGAGGTCAGGGAGAATGAGGACTGAGAAAAGGCC